AAAACTTCTATTTTTATTTCAATAAATATACCCAAGTAGCACGAGACTAATCATCAATACACGTAACAAAATATTTAAAGCCGGTATAATAATCAATTAGGGCTGATTCCCACGCATAAGAATGTATCAAATAAAATGGTTCAATTGAAACATGCATAGAAGATTGAAAATGAAGTTTTGTCTGTTTTGAAAATTTACAGATTTCACAAGGAAGATAGTTTAAAGATAGAGATGTCATTAAAATTTTTAAAACTTTATCTGATGGATATCCAAATCTCCAATGCCACAATTTATTAATATTGAAATTATCTTGACTAACATCTAATGCCTTATTTGCTTGATTAAAAAGATATAACCCATTAGATAATCTTCCTTCACCAATATTCCTCCCCGTGAGTTGGGAGAAAAAATAACATTGTAGTTCATACTCTGAGTAATTTTACTAACATACATTAAGTTAGAATAAAAAGATGGTATAAACAAGACTTCAGAGTTATGCGATTTGGAGAATAATTTGATATTACCAACACTATGGACATGAATCAATGAACCATTAACAATAGACATATGGTTCATATTTTCATTATTTTTTAAGTTGGACACATACTGTAAGTTATTAATCATATGATTTGTAGCCCTTGAGTCTATTATCTAAGGAAAAGTGCCACAGGAAGACATGGATGCATAATGATTATCTATGTTAGGGAATGAAGAATAAGGATCTTATGTGGAGGAAGAACCAATGTTGTTATTTGGTTGCTAATAATGCTCACAATTGCAGTGATGAGTTTGAATTTGAGTGATTGCGGTATGAGAGGTAGATCTGTCTGTTGTCTTGTTATTAATGGGCTTTAAGCGTGGTTATAGTACCCAATACTTATCATTCACATGTTTTATATTGTTGCAGTAATCATTTCTAGGACGCCCTCTATTACTATGACACCTTCCACCATGGCGATAATTGTTAGGGCCTCTACCTCCATCATTATTTTAAGGCGTTTTTATTTATTTTTGTCATTATTAGCAACTAGAGAAGATTCATCAACACTTTCGTCAGAGTTTTTGAAATCAAAATTCATGATTTTCTCTCTAGTTATATGTCAAAATTTAAATTTTTCATAGAGAGAACCAGAAACAGCTTTCGACCAACCAAGATAATTTAGTCTATTCAAAAGAATAATAGTAAGTTTCATACTGAAGTTAGATTCTGAATATGCCATTACGAAGAGATAAAAAAAAACCAGGAGACTGATCTGATCAGTAAAAAGTAATTAAAGAATACAAGACGCCTCTATCAGAACAAGCCGAAGTCCCCAATTGTTTCTCTCTTTAAAAATCACGAATATGTATCCAACAGCTTCTGAACTAAATGTTCACGATTGTAATAACATGTTACTTTCCTTCAAATCAAATCTTACAAATATTGATTCCGAGAGAAAAGATTCGTCAAAAGAAAACCAAGAGCCAATAATTTGTATATCAAACTAGTTTGCATAAAATCTTTTGCAAAACCATAAATTTGCAAAGAGAACAACGTTTTGCACTTGTAAAACCATATACTTGTGACGAGACTCCAATAGAGAGAAGAAACTTTTTGCACTTGCAAAGCAAAAGAATGCATCGTTTTGCATTTGCAGCAAAATAACGCAACGGGACTGCCACACAGCCAGAACGCTCCCATACGTTCGAATAGTGCCTAAAAATTCTTATGAAATTCAAAGTGCCGAATCACGATGGCAGTGCAGTGCAACGTGCAAAGAGATGCAACAAAGATGAGATATGGGGTTCGAAAGGAACAACTCCGGCCAGTAATACCTGCTCTAATACTATGTAGAGATTGCAATAAAGAAAACAATGAAGAGAGATAAAGATGAAAACAAGATATACATGGCTTGACTATGGTGCTACATCCACAGATGGTAAATCAGTATTTCATTCATAGGGATTACTCTGGTTTATCAGAGATTTATAGAATTACAACTTTTGCATTTTAAGAAACAAATGCCATTATAATAGTAATCACACAAAATATGGAACTCAAAATAGGAAACTTTAATATCTTATAGCCTGTAAAATATGCAACTCAATATTTGGTTTCTATAACTGTTCGGCTCTATACAAATCGCATCCTTACAAGGAGAAAGTTTATAAAGGATGCAACCTTATAACGTAGAACTACAGATGCACCTCAAAAATCCATCTGAAAAGGTACTTTTGATGTTGAAAACCCTTTGATTGATCATCTCGACATCGAGATGTATGACCATGAAAAATAAAAATATTTTAAGTAAAAAAATAGAGCATTTTACAACATATTATCTACACCGTCCATTTTCAAGATTTTCATATGTTTATAGATCTACTTGATTTTGACTATTTTGTAAATTTAAAATTTTATAATTAGATATAAAAATAGATTTAGAAATAATCCTAATAACATTCTAAATCAAAATTATATACCATGATAAAATTTGAAGGTGCAACTTACCTCCACACCTAAGGATGTATCCGTATGCCAATTGCACCCTGATATTATTTTATAGAATTGCAGAGAGACAGATAGAGAGAGTAAAGTGCATTTAATGGTCTTTTCAAAGAAAAGAAGACCTACTACTTCATAGTTTATGCAAGTCTAGAATCGGGAAATGATCATCCAACTATTATTTTCAGAAAAAAGAGAAGAAATGATCATCCAACTAGTTGTTGTAAGATGGTTACTATATTCCAACGGTCTCTTGCAAAAATAAATTTTCTAAGGAATCTACTTTAAACAATCAAGTAAGTTATTTTTAAATTTTGCTGAGAGATATAGTTTTGGTATTAAAATTTTTAAATTGACTTTGAAATTTATATCTGTTCCTAATTATAATTTTTTTTTAAAAAAATACAGTATGAATCAATAATATCTATAATCACTCCCAAATCTTGAAAATAGACAATCCAAAAAACATGTTACAAAATCCATTGGTTTTGTTTTTACTATATTCCAAAAGTTTATATAATATGTCATCTTTATACTTCTATAGTATAAAGCAAGCAACTTATATAAACTTTTTTCTTGAGATTCATGAGATGCTTCACTTATTTTACTTTGCCAGTAGGGTATAGTTTAGGTGCATCTTGGGGACACATCAATTACTGTAAGAAATTCATATTGGAGATGGATATTGGATTCAAAATTATAGGTTAGCCATTGCAATTTGAAAAAAACAAAAGAAAAAAAATTGAATGTAGGCTTTAAAAATTGTTGTTTTGTATGATTTCTCCAACCGTTCATTTCAATTTTTCAAAGATCATCAGATCTGCAGTATTCTTAGGCTCTAGATCACGGATCTTGAGCAAAAATAAAATTATTAGTCATTTTAGATTTGTTTTTAGATTAGATTTCTATTCTTTCCAAGAGACATAATCATCCTCATTCTCTATATTTGGGACGTAAAACCTATAGATAATCTTAGTAAAAATAATATCCAGAGTAAACTCTTTTTGTACTAAAGAAAACTAATTCTCCAAGTTTGAATATAGGCTGTCCAATTTTTTAAGGACTAGTTCTAAGTGTCACAAAACTCAAAATTTGATTTTTTTTTTTTGGAAAATGATTATCTTGTAATTCTTTACAAGATTCCCAAAATTTTAGGCTAAAGCAAATCTTCCTATTTGAGTAAGGGAGTAGATGCACAGCATGGTCCCATAGGAGCATAGTATAGATGCTCGTAAAAATTTCCAAATTCCACTTTCTATTCACTTTTAAAAAGAGTAGTATTCAGTAGTCCAATTTTTGAATGTAAGATCCAAGTATTAGAAAACTAAAAATTCAAAATATTTTTCTTTTCAAAATAATCATCTAATAAAAATAAACATATAGTGAAAATTATCCTACATAAGCATAGCGTACATTATTATATGAACAAAATTTATATAAAGATGAGGATCTAAACAATCAAATTAGAGCGCACCTTAAAAATTTCAGATTGTTTTGATGCCCAAATATCTTCAAATTGATCATCTCTACATGAAGATGCATGAATATGAGAAAAAAATAAATTTCAAGTCTTGGAAATAGTATATCTTAAAATGCATTTTGGACTGTTATTTTTCAAGATTTTCAAGGTTTCATAGATCTGCTCGATCTACACTAGTCTTGAAGCTTTAAATTTATAATTAAAGGTTAATATATATTATAAGGCTATCACAAAGATTTTAAGTATTGAAACCACATTTCTCTAACACTATTGGGTATAGTTTGTATAGAGCCAAGGCTCTAAACAATCCACCTTCAAATGGTGGCGAGAAATGTAGTTTTAATATTGAAAATATTTGTGATAGCTTTAAAATATATTTTTATATTTAATTATAAAATTTAAAGCTTTAAAAATAATATAGATCGAACAAATTTATAAAAGTTCAAAAAATATAAAAATTAATAATAAAAAAATACGTTACAAAATACATTACTTCCAAAAACTTAAAATCTATTTTTTTTGTCGTGTCCATACATTTTAAAGATATTTGTACATCAAAAGAACCTTTCTAGTGAAGCTTTGAGGCGGGCTCTGACTTCTCTAAGCTGTTGGGGTGAGACTGTCTTAAGAGGAAAAGTTAAGGGCACCATACGTTACTTTTATCTTTCTCTCTCTAAAATGAGAATCCCAATGTCGGGTTTGGGCTCCCAGTTTTTGAATCATTTGTGGTATTCAGGTATACGATTGATTCCTGCACAGTTCACCTGCAGTTAACGTACGCTCTTTGAGATCTGCGAAAGAAAACAATTCTATTGTAAATTTTCACTCTCTAAATGTCGTTCTCTCTCTCTCTAGAAGTCTCTCTACCATATAAACTATGCATTTTTAATGGGGAAAATATTCTCTCTCTCTCTAAGGGTCCACATCTCTTTTGTAATGGTACAGTCAAATTAAATTACACCTTCCTTCAAAGCACAAGGAAAGCTAGAGAGAGGAGAGAGAGTGTCATAATCAAAGCACCAATAATTTTGTTGTGCTTAAATTCTAGTGGGTTTCAGCAGCTTTGGAGAAGCTCTTCTCTTGCCATGAGAAGCCTTTCACCCTGCATCAATTACCTCTAATTCCCTCTGCAATTTCCCTGCAACCCATCTCTCTTCCTCTCTCTAAAAAACAGAAACTCAATTAGCAATCTGATTCACAGTTATGTTAGGGAAGAGATCAAGGCCAGTTCAGAAGGGCCCCAATCCACTAACAATAGCAGATACTGCTAAATTTAGCGACGATTTTGCAAAGAGCCCGACAAGCCCACTTGATTGCAGGATTAGATCGCCAAGGGGGTGGGAGAGCAAGGATTTAGAGGGGATTGGACTGGGAATTGTAGCTGCTCTGAACAAAACACGGGAAACCAAGGCAAAATCAATGGTGGGTAGTGCAAAAAAGGCCGCTAATTTATCAGAAACCCACCCTATTCCTATAAACACGGCTAAATTCTCTGCTAAAATTAGACCCAATTTGGAGGATACTGAAATTGGGTGCTCTGAGAGTTACTGTAGAGTGATGTTTCATGTGCCCAAGTCTCATATGAACAGGGCATACAATGAGGGGAGGGAAGAGAGAGGTGGTTTTGATCAGAACAGTAGAGATTATGGAGTGTTTTGTGCGTCTTCGCCGCCGAATTTTGCCGATTTCTCTATGTTTCCGACAGCTGATTTTCTGAAGTCCTGTTACTTGTGCCGGAAAATGCTTCATGGGAAGGACATATACATGTACAGGTACTTTGTCTCTCATCATTTCTCTATGAATGGGAATCATTTCCTTATCTCTCTGTCTAAAAAATTATATATTTAAGTTTTCAAGACTTTGGCCTGCAAACTCACAAATTTCTTTACATATTGGAATCATGGTTTGCGTGGGTGTGTGAGTGTCTAAAATCTAATTACATGGTTCCATCTTAATGAGTTTTGCTATGATCCTATGATGATCTTATCTTGATCATATTTGTTTTGATTTATTTACTGTTATATGATAATTATCTCTCTCTCTTTCTCTTTCTCTCTCAAGGAAGTTGTTATGATGAGTTTTATCTATCTAATATAGGGTTAGTCCTTGTTCTCTCTCTGTCATATAAAACTAAGATGGGTCTCTTCTCTTGTGCTGTTATTTACAGAGGGGACAAAGCATTTTGCAGCATCGATTGCCGATACCGGCAGATCGCCATCGATGAATACTCGGAGAAATGCAGTTCGAACCTCTCGGTTTCTCCATATTCAGCCAATGGGGTGCTATCTGCAAGCGTAGCCGCTGCATAGCTCTCAATAACTTCACCTCAAAAAACAGAGAGAGAGAGAGTTAAATCAGTTTACGGCTTATGCTTATGTATACGAGTAATTGAACAGTTGGTTGATGAGTTCCAAACATGGAAGCTTTTCTAATGCCAACTGAATTAAGAGCTTGATGCTTGGGCTTTAAACAAAAACATCAACAGTTTTTCTCTTCCTTCTTCTCAGACTGCTTATGAGTTTTATCAGAGCATTTGTCATGGAGATTGATTGTGTTGTGTAAGCTTCATGTGCAAATTATGGGCTTAAGCCTATGATTAAAGAAAAATGACTTGATTTTGAAGGATAAAGAGCTAAAGGTTCAGGTGTTAATAGAATTGGGATTTTGAGAGTGTTTGATAGGCTCTACGTATTGTGCACATAGATGTCTCTCTTGGAGCTCAAATAAATTTATAAAATTGCGTAAAGTTTTACAGTGAAACAAGTTTGACATTCTCGACTTACCCTTGGAGCGGTGAGAAAAGATATGAGTATTTATAGCTTCATTAAAAGTATAACTTTTGATAGAGCCGAATAACATATCATAATTTATGCATTCAATCTAAAATAGTTGAAAAAATATTAAAATGACGATGATTTTTAGCCGTTCGTTCAACATATTTATTCTTGGACGTTTGGCTCACGTGGCATGCTATAGGTCGGCCTTGGGATCTCACCCTTGGGTATTTATTGATTGATTACAGGTAAGAATAACCTAGGTAGAGCTTAATTGAGGTTGCCTTATTCGAACTGCATTAATGTATGTTGTGGATCACTCATGACATGTATTTAGAAAGTGGAACCTTCACATGAGAGAAGTAATTTTTGTAGTCTTATTGCAGTTTTGGTCCTCGTAAAAATATTTTCACATTAAAATTTTTTTTCATGTAGTCAAATGTGAAAATATTTTCATATCAATTGATGTTAATGCATCTTTTCAAACGTGCTATTAATGAATATTGAGAAGCTCACCACCCAATGTTAGAAAACAAGGTTCAGGCTGAGTCAATTATGGTATAACCGGAAAGGCTTGAGTTGAAATGAAAAACAGTAATAGAATATATAGATTTGGTATTACCTTAAAGTACATTTTATTTTTGATTAGTTTCAAATTATTTTTAGAAATAATAATTATCACCTTATACAAACCGCACCCATATTAAAAATTATCAAGCGAGTGCAACTCGAACTCATCCAAACTCGGTGCGTGATGGCATGCATGGTATGTCCATTATGGAAATGTGCTTGCATTACTCATAAACGAAGCTTTAGATCAATGAATGGATGTCCACATTACTTTGGGAATCAATTAGCCTATATGCTCGTAGGGGCCAGGTCTGGTCTGGCCATACTTGGACCCGAAAATATAATGTGGGACTCGGACTCGGCTTTACCTGACATATCTATGAATCTAATTATATTTAAATATCATTTGTGGTACAAAGCGATTGCAGCAAAGTATGGTGTGGATAGGTTTGGATTGTGGGTTGGATTGAGAAATGGTACTAGGGAGATGTCTTATTGTTGACAAGTGATTCATTCTTGTAAACCTCTCATTCACAAGGACATTTGTTGGTCTCTAAGAGATGGACAAAATATATCTTTTTGGCATCACAAATGGTTAGGCTCTTCACCTTTGAAATATATTTTTCCTCTTGTATTTCAAAGAATGGCCAACCCTAATATACTCATTTCTGACTATTACGAACGAAGGGAAAACTAGATTGTATGGAATATTAATCTTCCATATAACAGGATTTCAAATTCTCTCTTTGCTGAATTCACTGACTTATTGATGCTTCTTAATGATGTTTACATTCCTCATAATGCTGATGATAAGATTGTGTGGGATATTGACAAAGATGGTGATTACTCGGTTAAATCGATGTACCAATTGCTATTTCATGATAGATGGAGATGGACTATGCCGGAAGTAGTTGTGGTATGGAAATGGCCTTTACCTGTTAAAGTCCAGGCATTCCTTTGGTTGGCAGTTCAAAACAAGGTTCTAACAATGGATAATCTTGTCAAGAGAGGTAAGATTTTGCCAAATGTTTGTCTGCTATGTTAGGGGGATGGTGAAACAGGGCCTCATTTATTTCTTTATTGTCCATTCACTTCTAGAATATAGAGTTGGTTCTTTGGTCAGCTTGAGGTTACAATGGTTATGTCGTCAAAGGTTGAGGGCTTACTTTCAAACTTGTCGCTATCTTTTTTACCGCAGTTTGGTTTGTTGATCTGGCAAATCACAAGAGGTGTCATTTTGTAGGAGGTGTGGAAGGAAAAAAAATAGAAGAACATTTGATGCGATATGTCAGCCTTTTGAGAAAGTTATGGACAAGATCTTGAATTCTATTTGGCTTTATCTTTCTGTGACAAAGGTTGGAGGAATCTATTTTTCAGATGGGTTTCACTAAATGCTGGCCTAAAGGAAGATGGGTTGCACCTTTGATGGGGGTTTTTAAGCTCAATTTTGATGGCACTTGGTTAGAGAACCCTGGGTTGACAGGCTTTGGAGGTGTGTTAAGAGACTGGAATGGCAGTATTATCTTTTCTTATGCTGGTCCTCTTGGTAAAAGAACTGCTAATTTTGCTGAACTTTACGCACTTCTCTAAGGTTTAAAATTTATGGTGGCTAGGAATCTTGGTCATTACTGTATCATTGAAGGGGATTCTCTTAACGTCATCAATTGGTGTAACAGAAAGCAAAGTCTCCCTCGGAGATGAGATCAATGCTGTTATAGATTTGGGATATTGCGAGGCCCTTTGTTTTCTCCGTTGTGCATGTTTATAAGGAAGCTAATGGGCTGGCAGATTTCTTTGCCAAAAGGGGCTCATTTTTATCTGAGACTTTGATCTTTGACTTTGTAATCTCTTTTTAATATTTTAATACAATTTTGAATCTTGTTAAAAAAACAAAAAAAATTTAAATATAAGGAAAATTATAGATACCTACCAAAATGAACTTTGTACACTTCCTCCTCTCAATACTTTTAATATCATACCCTAGACTTCAACACTATATTTTCTTCTATTTACCCCCATTCAAAAAGTCAAAAAAATTGAGATTAAAATACCTTCTCTTTTCTCTATTTACTTTTCTATTTTTCTTTCTCTTTCTGTCTCTACCTGCCCTCTCTCTACTCACCCTCTCTCTTTCTCTCTCTAACCCTCTCTCTACCCACCCTCTCTCTTTCTCGCTCTAACTCTCTCTCTCTCCCTCTCACTCATAGGAGTCTCTCTCTTGCTCAAAATCTCTTTTTCTGATTGAAGTTTCTCTCTGGTACCCAAAATCTCTCTATCTTTTTAACCACCTCTAACTCGCTTCCCATCTTCTTTATGTTTATCTCCCTCTTACTAATAATATCTCTCTCTCTTATCCAAAATCTCTCTCTCTCTCTCTCTCTCTCACTCACCCAAAATCTCTCTCTCTCGAATTTCTCCATTGATTTATGGAATTGGATCAGAAGATACCCCATGCTTCCATTTTACTAGCTTTCAGGTGGGCAATTCTTAGGCTCTGTAAATTGGGTCGATCCATCTGATCCAAGAATCTTTAGGGCCAACGTAAAAGCCATTAAATCATTCAAAACCCTATGTTTTCACCTCTTTTGAATGTAGGTACAGAGAGAACTGCATATTATCAGTCAACCAATCGAGTTTGAAACTCATTTCAGAGATGGGGAGGTAAGGGTGGGGGAGCTCTACAAAGCTCATGGCGGCCATGAAGCTAAGGTTTTTGAAGAAATTTGGGGCTTTTGATGGGTATATTAATGAGCACTGGTGCGTTTGATATTATTACATTCTTATGTCGGGACTTACGGCCTCACTGAGAATGTGGCTTTTAATAGAGTAGATTGACGGATCTGGATTCGTGTAGCCAACCCCAATTAATTAAGAAAAGGCTACGATGATGATGATTCCATTCTTGATGTTAAGCAATGTACAATGGTCAAATAATATCATATTCATTGCAATCTTTTACTTTTTTTTCATCATGAGGGAGTTATGAATTGATTCCTCTTTACCTACTTCTATCTATTCAACTGAACATTTATCTGCTACACCTTGAGAGGTTCCATTTTTCTCTTGGGGAGTTCTTGGGTTTATAATTCAAATCAGCCATATCCTGTAGTATTGGAAAACCCTATTCTATTTGAGCTTCCTTACTGCTCTTGCTGTGTATACTGTCAAACCACCGACTATACCCCTACATACGTGGCTGCCATGGAGAGACATTAGAGTGCGAATT